AAGCCAGGCGAAAAGCGCACACGAAGATTATAAATAATATGTTAAAATCGAATCATCGACAAGGTGTTTCTCTTTACTTTTAAAATACCCTCTCTTTATAAATTCATATAACTAACTCATCGTTTATCACGTTTTGTAAAAAGAATCTTGCAACTCCAATGCCGGTGCCGTTAACCGACGACGCACAACCTCCAGTGAATATTCAACTATAGCTTTATTACTTTCTTTACTAAAGTTCCATTACAAAGTTCATTTTTTGTATTTATAGAAAAAATTGTAAAATTTCAGATTATTTTGATTTTTCAATTTTTGCTTTGCTTGTGGACAATGATGGCTCAATAAAATTAGTGACCTAAAGTTAAATTTTAATAAAAGGCCTTGTATTTTTTATGCTAGAATTCGTATATGTATGCATACATACATATGAAAAAAAACTATTATTACAATTTTTTCGCGCTTGTTGTTATAATATAATATTCTTAAATGATATAAAGCCTTTAACTCTACATAATAATATTATTTATATTAGTAAATAATGATTTGAATAAATAAAATATTAGACATGTATTTGCAAATTTCCTTTGATATCGTTGTAAAAAATTATATTTACCAATATGAAAATATAAGTAGTCTAATTCAAGGTTCTAAAGTATTTTACTATTAAATAATAGACAATCTCTTTTTCTTTCCTTTTTACAAAATTTGTATACTTTTTATTTTTCTACAAATTTTAATATTGTCTAAGCTAAAATAAAATCATAAAATTCACTACTAAATTATTTTTGGGCCTCAAAATCTCGAGGGCCTAAATCAAGGTTTTACTAGCCTCCCTCTTGAGCCACCCATTAATTCTTGATATTCTTAGTTAAATTTTATAGAGTTCAATTAAGATAAAACAACAATGACAAGAACGACATCGAATGTGCCATTCAGTTAACAAATGCGAATGAAGTTGGTTGAACAACATGTTCGTGCGACAATGGTCTCAATGAAATTGGTGGCTAAAATTAAAATATATCAAAAGACCCTTGAACTTTTTTTCATAAAATTCATAGAATAACAAGACTCTAAAAAGGCCTAATGTGAGAGCGCATCATATAAGCATGATGTGTCGGATAGGCGCATGTCACGATATTAAATTCTCATCTATACAAAGATATGGTATTAAGTGAAAATGATAAAGGGGTTAGCGCATTACTCACCGAGTTATTTTTTAACATGTAACACTTACCTTGAAAATTTCCTTTGTTAAAAAACGAGACACAAAAGAACTTGCTTTTTGATGTACGAATGTGCCAAAAAGAATAGCTAATTTAGAGAATCTGAATTAAAATTAGAAAGTAAAATCGTGAGAAACATGAAAAAAAGTATACATAGAAGAAAAGTAAAATAGATAAAAAGGTAAATATATTATTTAATTCAATGACAGAAAAGATTTATCATATTACTCCCTCCGTCCACATTATCTGATTTTTTGGCTTTTTTTTGTGGTCCAAAATATTTGATTTTTTCATATTTCAAGATTGAATTAATTATTTATTTGCAAATTTGCCCTTAATATAAACGGCGTTGGAGTATGTCTTATGTTTATTTTCTAATGCAATTGGATTCATCCATCTCAGATTGGCGTTTCACTTCTCTAGTAGTCCGCGTACTACTTCTTATAAAATCTAATGAACATTTCATCTCTTACAATTCATGTTAATTATTTTTATAAAATAAAATTGGAGAAGAAATATTGAAAATTTTTGGCTCCATTTTATAGTTCTGAGATTTCTTGCTGAAAATTTAAAATAGTCTTGTCTTTGATGCTCACAAAGTTTTCAATGAGTTCTACTGGTTGCTTCGGTTCTGGGAGTTGCTAATCATCACATCCCAAATCCCAAAATAGCATTATGCAAATATAAATATGAAAAAAACGGGAAGAGATAGTAAATATTAATACAGTTAATTTAATTGCTAATTAATATTAAAAGATAAATATTTTAATATATGTAAAAATAACAAAAAGATAAATAAAGTGGACTCGAGGGAGTAACTCATTCAAACCTATCTCAATCAAAATTTTTAAAATATAAAAATTTGAAATATTTCATTAACTAATACTCCGTATATAATTATAAAATATATATTTTTGGGGCCTTAAATATTTGGGGTTTAAGGCAAGTGTTTCGCCTGCCTTACCGTAGAGCCGCGCAGGGTAAAAAATGATAGCAGCTATTTCGTGGGTTCCCAAAGGGGTTGCCAAGGCAGTTCCAGCCGCGGTTGAGCCCCCTTCAAAGGAAGAAATCGAGGAGCTTTTGAAGTGTGGCCTCCTTGATAAAAGGTATTATTGTTTTTTTTTTTCTTGTAAGTTTTTTTTGGTATGCCTAAAAATAAATGATATTGACCTATTTAAGACCTAGAATATTTGGTAATTGGAACTGAACTTGATACTGTTATCATGTCTTGCATCGCCCTAAAGATGTACTGGTCCGTAGGTTTGAAACTATGGTCAGTGAAGGTGTTAGAAATGGAACAAGCTAGACCTAAAATCACATGGAAAGAAGTTATCTCGAAAGAACATCAAGTCGTTGGAATCAATGCAGACTTAGCCAAAGAGATTGCACAATGGAAGAAAAAGCTTTAAATTTGTTGGAGAACTTTTAATATTATTACTACTATTTTATTATTTGAGTTGAGCTTAAAGAAAGAAGTAAGTATTCATATTGTCGACCCCAATTTTGTTTGGGACTGAGGCGTAGTTACTAGTTATTGTATTGTTTGTATTGTATTGGAACCGAACTTGAAACTTCCTTTTGTGTAATCGTTGCTTTGCCTTACTCTTGAAAGTCTGTTGCTTTATTTTCCTTGCAGTGAAGATAGTGATAATGAGGAAGCTGAAGAAGATATGAATGTTGATGAATCCAAGGAAAACGAGGATGATGAAGTTGCTGTTGCATTAGCAGCTGCTAATGCACTTGGAAAAGCTACAAAAGATGTCTCTCCAGAAACTGATAACATAACAAATGGTTTAAAGGAATTGAAGATGGAAAACTACGATGATGAGGAGGATGGTAACTCAATAACCCTATTAGCTGATATGTTCACTTGGGTTGAATACTGTTTTTTTCCCTTCATTATTATATATAGCGTAACTGATGAAGCACTCGGGCACCGTGTTCATCTGAACCCATTATTTTCGACGCAGAGCATAAATATATGGATAAAAATTCATTAATATTGCAACAAATAACATGTCTTAACCCATAATTTTAAGAATACAATGGGTTCAATGCTAAAAAACTTAGAGGTTGAACCCATGAAACTAAATCCTAAATCCGCCTCTACTGGCACCCAGGGACTAGCTTAGTCTCCACTATGACATATCAGTTTTTACTTGGAAAGCTGTTCCCACTTTTATTCCTAATTGTCAAATTTTAAATGGATTTTGATTCAGTTTGCATCTCTCTCTCTCTCATTGCATGTGTTTGGTGTTGTCAGGCATTGAGCTTTTCGGTTCGGGACTCAAAGACTTGTACTACCCAAGTAATGACATGGACCCATATCTCAAGGATAAGGTTGCAGAATGACCATTTGTTTTCCCTCAGTCCCTCACGTTGGCTCCTTTGAAGTATTTTCCATTTTACTTACGGATGAAATTCTTCTCTCAGGACAGTGACTCAGAGGAGGATGAGGATATGACAATAAAGCCTGATGATTCTATTATAGTTTGTGCAAGCAATGATGATGATGTCAGTCATCTTGAGGCAAGTAAAACTAACTTCAGACTTAATTATACTTTCATCTGTATGCCCCTGGTAATTTCATTTGGCCACCTTTAATTTTGTAACGTTCATCCGTGCCAGCAGATTTGGATTTTGGAAGTTTTATCAGATGGTACTGTAAACATGTATGTTCATCATGAGATTATTATTCCTGCGTTTCCTCTCTGCACAGCATGGCTCGATTGCCCTATTAAAAGTGACGAGGGGAAAGGTAAGGTTCTGCTTGAAGTTGAGCTTGCTACTGAAGTTTTTTCTCTTAGTGGTTGTTGAACATATATAACTTTCAGAAGCAATTCTTTGACATCATTTTTACTTCTTATATTTCACTTCGTTATCTATGTTTTTCATTTCTCTTGTCCAGATAATAATTGTTTGGACATGCTCTAATCATTGACATCATTTTTTTGGCAATTGTTCATTAGCACTTGTTCTTCACTAAAAGCCCACTCTTTAGTTGATTTTGCTCTAAAGCCCTTGGCATCGGCGCTTCCCTGTGCTTCCTTACCTTGGTAGATTTCAATAATTTCAGAGGCTAAAGAAATTATGCTGCTCACTACGATATAGGAGTACTGCTTTTTTATAATTAGTATTAAGCTAAGAGATTCATTTGCCATATAAGATGACCTTTTAATAAAAATGCTATGATAAAGTCTATTTAAGTTGCATTTCTCTCACCCTGCTTACCTTTTTCCTGGCCTGTAGCGTTTGGTAGAATGGCAGCCACCAGCACTACACACTTGTTTAGAAGGCAAACCTTTCAAAACCATCCGCAAACATTAATTTGCGATCGGGCTATATGCTCTTCCATTGTTTCACTCTTTTCTCCTCAGTATTTTTTCTTTTCTTTTACCCATTTTACCGCCGAAATTAGGCACAATGAATCTATTTAATGCAGTTTGATCTTAGATTTATAATAGTTGATCTTTGTATATTTGATGGTGTACTTCCTTTGCTCATGTTAATAAATGAGTTATATGTTGATAGGGAACTTCATAGCTGTGGGCTCAATGGAACTAGCAATTGAAATTTGGGACCTAGACATAGTAAGTGACTGCACACTGATCTTGATGAACTCCCGACTCACTACTGATCGTATCGCACTATCTTCATTCTTTGTAGTTGGATGAGGTGCAACCAGCTGCTGTATTAGGTGGAATCGCTGACATAAAGAAAAAGGGGAAGAAGGTAATCTTTAATCCAATTTTCAATTGGAATGGTCTTGTATGCTAAGTCAGCTTGTTCAGCTGAAATTAGTTTTATATGTTAAGGTAGAAAACATGTGGACTAGTTTCCTGGTTTCTCTGTTGAATAAAGTAAGGGTGGCAAGTGGGCCGGTCCCGGGCCTAAACGGGCTAAGTGGGCCGGTCCAAACGGTCCCGGGCCGGTCCCAAATTAAACGGGCCAAACGGTCCCGGGCCGGTCCCAAATTAAACGGGCCAAACGGTCCCGGGCTAAACAGTCTTTTTGTAAGGACCGGCCCGAGACCGGGACCGTTTGGTACCGGGCTAAACGGTCCCGCCCCGCGGGCTAAATGGGCTAAGTGGGTCCAACGGATTTAAAAAAAAAAATTAAATAGAAATTAGAGACAAAAGGATGTTAAAATAATATCTAAGGCAATGCCTTGTAAAATTTATTATAAAATTGTGACCTAAATTTTTAAATATTTTTTAAGGTCTGCGTACAGACTACCCTCCCCAGACCCTACCTGTTGGGATCAAACTGGGTTTGTTGTTGTTGTTTTTAATTCAAATTTAAAGTCTAAAGACGAAAATATTGTAAAGAGATGTTCAAAGCAATGCCTTGTAATTTTATTATAGCATTAAAAAATATGGCAATATCTTTCTTAGTCTTCATCCCCCTATGGAATGAGCACAACAAGGTGCTAATACCACCATTGAAAAGAAAAAGAAACTAATCAAGATGTGCCAAAATACAAGTTACATAATACATATTAATTTTTGTTCATACAAGTTACATGGTATCTCTTACAAACTTCATAAATTTATCAAGGTCCGGAGGAATTTCCGTTGGTGGTGGCGGAAAAGTAGCTTGGTCATCGCCACTTCCGGGCGAAGCAACATCCTCCGCAAGTTCAGCTAGCA